AATAAAACAACAACAACAAACAGCAAAAACATGTAGCGACCTTGATTAATCAAATAGTTGCGTTTCATTGCATATAGGCTCTGTTTTTTTCTCATTATTGGTCACCTTTATTTCGTATTTGACCGTCCAGATAGTCTCATATTTGTAACCTTATTTATCATATATCTTTATTAAAAATATAAATAGATATAAAATAATAACCCAAAATCAAACGTGTAAAATTTGAACGTTGATCCAATATTATACGTCTAATGTTAATTTGCTTACACATTTATAAACTCTGTCACATATTTGAAATGATTTGAAAGGGACAGTATACTGTGTACCTAACCAGATTTTGTTTTATTCCATCAATTCAAAATAACACAAAGAATATAATTCATACCCTTTATTATTTGACTGCGAATGTTTCTATCTGTCACTGTAATACATTTTAAATACTTTATCATCACTGGTAACCTCGAAATGTCAGAATCAATAAGATGGCCTCAACTATCACATTTATATATAGTATACACAATATAACATTATCAAACATAAATTAACACCGAAGGAGGCAAAGGGGGCGGAGGATATGAAGGCGGAGGTGGGCGGGGCTTCCGTGTTTTCGTTTTTTCTAGTTTATCAGTTCTATTGCAAAATTCGTCATCAGTTTGTGTACCATGGTCGGTTGTTTCAGATCCTGTAAAAGAATCTGTCTCGACTTTGTTTGAATGAGCTAGGGGAGTTTCCGTGGTATCTGCGTTATTTTCATGTTCAGTGGGCGTGACGATAGCAGTGAGGACATCACGTGACGAGGATAATGTATGGTTTATACAATAATTATTGAAATAATTTCCGAATGCCGATCCGAAAGAATTTTTATGGTTCTTTGATTGAAAAGCCAGCTTTTCATATGCGGTTATTTCATGGTTTATGTTTTGTTTTTGTTCAACTCCATTATTAATTCCATCCGTTTGAATGCGTGATTGGCTATTGTCAACTACAGATCCACTACCTTTCATTACAAACAGCGGAATCTTCTCATTACGAGATGCTAAGCACGTGCAAACTTTCTTTTTATTTTGTAACAGTTTTTTCATTCCCGAGAACGGAAATGACTTCACATCGCTCCCAACAACCTGCATTTTTTGTTTGATTTGAGTATTTGTCAGGATATCTGTAGAACCGGAAGTTCTTTTCTGAAATAAACGATTAATTATCACAAATGCACAGCTACTTCCGGTGAGAACTGAACTGTCGTCTGCGCTAAGGTCTGCGCATAGGTCGCTCATTGACTTGCTCGATTTCATGCCCTTGAATTCTGGAGGTCCTTTTACTTTCTCGTGATTTGTAAGGTTACTCTGGGAGTGACGTTTAATGAAACGTTTCAAAGGGTTGACTGTTTTGTCGGTTGAAACAGGTTTCATTTTTAACTCGCGCACCTGCAATGCAATTTAAAATTATGTTATTGTATTATTTTAACTTCACATGGAAATACGATTTCAAAAACGCTTATAAACATTTGTTCGCATGTTAATTTTACAATATACCCAGTACTGTTAACATATTTTAATGTTTAATATAATAAAATACATTGTTCATACAGATCAGATTATTCTAAAAAAAATGTCAGGAAATAAAAGTATATTTTCCATATTTCAGAGATATCTAAAAAATAATCTTACTCGTTTAGAACCCTCGAACGCTGCGTTTCTATCATCTGCATTTGCAGCAGACACAACTTTGGCCTTCCTAACAATACCCGGTTTTCTGATGTTTTTGGTCACGGATTTGGGCGGAGCAAACACTCTGTCAGGGGACACGTTCATAGTTTGTATAAGATCAGCGTCACCATTCTGCAAAAGGATAAAATTTAGGTCAATGATATCTAAATACATGAAAAAATACATATTTGATTCCTCCCAGGAAATTTTGAAACGTTCTTTTTTGCATTCTTTGTACAATTTAAATATTAAAGTATTAATGTTATTATTAAAAGTGTAAATTTAAAAGTGTGGAAAAATAACAACAACAAAAATTGTCAATGCGGAACTGATAAGCTTCCGCAGAAATTAAATTATTCACTTTAAACCATCTATATATACATAACATATTGAAATCTACTAAACCATGTAATGCATTCACAACCTTTTTCACACCCACTTAATTTTACATAATTATAATATATATCATTTCATACATACATCAAATCTCTCCAATGACGCGTTGATGGATTTCTTCTGAAGATCTTCTGCGTCATGAAACGCTTCTAGAAGAAGTGCACGTGCGTCTGACATTCTTTCTGCTTTAATGTAGGCCAGTGCAAGATTATGTTTGACCTGGAAATAAACAAAAAGAGTTGAAAATCGTTGCCGGCCTCATTTGATAATCTGTATCAAAGTTATTATACAGTGGTATTTCGTACATGAGTGGATCGTACAGACTCGGTGAATTCCGTGAATTTTCGTAAAAAAATATAATATATATTCGGAATGCAGTGAAATGACAAGATTTTACTATAGCAGTTTGCTCATGTGGTTTATAGACCACGTGATTTATAGACCACGGTCAAATGCTCACAGTTCATTTGAATGTGATGCATAAAATGATACATAAAATAGTTTAACTTTATAAACTACTTTTAATTTTTCAAGACACATTTAAATATAATATCTAATGTTCTTTCTTAGCTTATATGTAACTGTTTCTTATCAATTTTAAATGTTAGGCGAACTTTTAATGTTCACAAATTTAATATTATAAATTTAGGACCTAGACGGTTTTAAATAACGTGCAAATCTTCTTACCTGAAAACTATTAATTCTTATAAGTAGACCTAGTGGCTTATAGTCTATAAACGTGTTTCCTCGTAACAATGCACGTGTCATCTCAAGGTCGGATATAGAATTTCCGATGCTTGAAAATATAATATAAAATCATTATGATAAAACTAATGTATGTGTTTTCTTATCTAGTTTTGTGAAAGGCACGTTATACCTCGGGAACAAATACTAGTATTTCTTACTTCATTAGAATAGGCAAGCATGAATTTGATAACGTTTAAATAATGGTTTTTAGAGCACGTTGGATGCCAGAAGATGTGATTTGAATTTTTTGTCATTTCAGGTGATTGACCAATGAGTAACTTTTAGAAAACTTTGAATTAATGTTAGATACTTGCGACCTTAAGATTTGACCTTTACCTGTCAGAAAAGAAGCAATTTGTAAACAGAGTAGTACATAATTGACCAATGAGTAACTTTTGTGAAACTTTAAAGTTGACGTCACTTGAATAAAATAAAATATTAACCTGTTACGTTGTAGGTACAAGGTTCCTCGTAGAAAGAATGCGACAGCTAAATATTTGTCTTGCTCGATGGCCATCGTCAGATTCTGTAAAAAACCAAAAAGCGTAATATGTATAAATGTATGGAAGATGGTAGTGCAGAGTTTTCTCCCCTAAAACAACGTCATCACTACTTCCCAAAATCATGTAACTTATGCAAGAACTTATGGTAGATCTAGAGTAATTCCGAAACGAACGCAATAACGACGTCAACTGTGACGTCATTTACATAATAAGATACATTTGCTTGCCTAAGTTTATAGTAACAATGCTATTTTCTGTGTCGATGATTATGTTTAATAATATAATTACTTTTTTCCTTTTTTTCGTCTTTTGGTCAGTGTCATAAAACAAACGTTGAAAACAAGAGAATGTGGCTCGTTATATTATTCTATATCATTGATGCCGTAAAAATGTTGTTGCACAGTTGTGTATATATCTTGACGTGACGTCATTTGCGTTATACAAACAAAGCGAAAATTCTTTATTTTGGATATGTGACAAATAGAATATTATATTTGCGTAGTTTCATTAGTGAATTTATTGAACTCATTTCAATAAAATAGAAATAAGCTCGCCAGAGGCTCGTATAATATAATTGTATTCACCTCGTTCAATAAATTCAGTATTGAACCAACACTTGTTCAATATGCTCTACGCCTTTTACTATTGGGGATTTAATATTACTCGATGTGGTAGAGGGGTGGGGGTCGTGGGGATTGAGAACTATGGCAATGTTAATTATCTCTAATGAACAGACTCTATCTGACTATGTTTGCAATTTTCAAAAATCTATTTTCTGCTTTCATTGCAATTCTCCCCTGTCTAGAATTTTATATGCACCTTTTTTAAATAAAGAATGTTTATTTATTGTAAATATTTGAATATTGTCTATATGAATGCAATAAGCGCGGTGAAAATATTTCTATATTTCTATATACACTTCCTTCACTGACTTTTAAACACGGCTTCTATTATATGATGCTTTTTTAATTTCTTTTTTAATAAATACCAACTGTTCAAAAACTAGTAACTATTTTAAGATTTGTGTGAAACATTGTGTTTTTTTTTCTTTGCTAGTTTGAACAATTTAGAGTAAAAACATTTTAAAGCAAATATTAACTTAGTCATTAATTTCGTGTGTATATGCAATATACAATACATTTTTATATAAAGAAAAAAAAGGTTATGTCATACATATCACGAAATGAAAACACAATATTTGTTCAGGTTAATGTGACATGTACGAAGCCTATACTTATTATCAGTTTTAGAAAGGATTTACTTCAACCTTATAATAATTGAAACATTTCTCCCATCGTCCATTTAATAGTTTTTTATTCACAGATCGCTGGAAGCGCTCAGTTTGACTGGGTATAAAAAATACACCCTGTCAAATTTAGTAGAAAATTAACTTCATTACCAAATAGAAAGAAAAAGAAATTTAAAAAATACTTAACAACGTTTAAATAATGTTTTTCTTACTTCAAAAAATATGCTCTCATTATAATAAACCTGCTTGTCAAATGCATAATTACGAATATTATAATTTACAGAAAGCATGCCTGGAAGAATTAAAATAAATAAATAAATAAATAAATAAATAAATAAATGAATAAATAAATGAATAAATAAATAAATAAATAAATAAATAAATAAATAAATAAATAAATAAATAAATAAATAAATAAATAAATAAATGAATAAATAAATAAATAAATAAATAAATAAATAAATAAATAAATAAATAAATAAAAAATAAATGAATGAATGAATAAATGAATGAATTAATGAATGAATGAATGAATGAATGAATAAATAATAAATAAATGAATAAATGAATGAATGAATGAATCTACCCACGTGACCAGTTCCGTCTGATCGTGCTCTGCATTATTTGCTATTCAGCGTGTACATATTTTGAATTTCTCCCTAAATTTAAGAAAAAAGTTTTGTCAAGATAGAAAGATCGACAAGTTGGTTGAAGAGAGTGTGCTAAGTTAGGATTCAGATTCAATAATAACCACCATCGTTGACTTTACCTTTCGAACACTTGCATATTTTTAAGCTTGTATATCTATGTATTTTATACAAATCTTTAACATACAGCAATAAAAATTAAAAAAAAACTTACCTCGATAGCTGCAAGTTCGTTGTCTAGTTTGATTTCAGCACATGCCATGTTATAACGCATTCTTGCCGACACTACTTGTATTTTATAATAATTTTCTATTGCCTCATTGTAATTTCCGGAATTATGAAATTCTACAGCGCTGTTCCATGTTATCAGCGTCTCTTTTATAGATTCTGTCATCACCATTTTTAAATTCGGCTGTACACTTGTTAAATAATTTAGTGGTTTACTGTCGCCTCAGACTGGCATTAAATATGAAAATTAACCAGAGATGGTCGCATGCAGAATAAACTGTAATGAAATGTCGACCGGGTTTAAATAGCTCTGATTTTCAGGCAGTCTGATGACCTTGTACATTCTTAAATCAGTCATCGGAAAATAACTTATTTAAATGGAAACATGAGCAAAAAGACAAAAAAGGAGATAAAAATAGAGAAAAGAAGTCGTGACTCTATCTACGTTATATACTGTTTAATGTCCCAAATTTTTACTTTATACCCCGTCAATGCTGTATAGTGTATACTGTACTCGGTCCATTAAACAAAATTATAATGCGTGGAGTATTGAACAGGCACGCGTCAATAGTTTACTTCTAACTGGGGAAACAATTTAAACATGTTAGCATTTGAAAAGGTTTATCTTGATTTTATGAATTAATCCTAGTTTTTGACCTATTGCATTTTTTTATTCATTGTTCGACCGTTGCGTCATTCTGTTATTGTTCTTGTCGAGCTGTAACTGTGGACCTGGCCGTCGCGTCATATCGAGCTGTTTTTTACATTTAAAAGAGAAGAGGTCAACAAGCTATATAACTAAATTTATTTCTAATATGTAACTCTAGTTAACTCCCCTGAAATAACTTATAGCAACTCCTCTTTTTCAAATATCAATTATTAACAGTGGCGGAAAGCATGTTTCATACATATATGTGACCAGGTCGCATTAATATGCAAAACATATTTGAAGTAGGTGTTGCAAATTAAATTTAGCCATGACGTGTACAAGCTAGAGGCTCACATTACTACAAGTATTTTTGGTTACCGTGTCTATCTCTCTGCCTAGGGATCGTGAGTTCGAGCCCCACTCGGGCCACGACCATGTTGTTATATGACACCGGTACTGTAATTTCAAGGGAGCGCAATATTGATAGATAAGTTGCGGAAACGTGTTTCAAAACTGAGCTGAAATAGATATTTAAAACTCATATTTATGTTGTATCGAACCTGGCCAGATTGCACAGTTGAGTGAGTAGACAGGTCTGACTTGTATCGGTGGCATAATGCGAGTCTTGTTTGTTGACAGTAGTTTAAAGGCTTCGAGTACAATAATTGAAGTAAAGTTAAGATGTTAACAGGCTAAGCCGTTTAGGGGTTTTTAATTTATATCACAATTTGGCTATAGAGTTCATACTGCACACTTAAAACATGAGAATTTGCAACGTAACAACCATAGAAATAAAGCATTATAACAGCAAGATTATTAAAGGCGTCCGATTGATTGACTTTGAACCACTAGCCCCATCACTATGGGTTCGAATTCCGACAGGAAATTTGAATTTTTTCATTGTTAACATAACTTTGATGGTTCTACTGAGGTTCCTGTACGAGCCTGAAATAATACAAGAAAGGGTACTTGAGGTCTCCCTGCACCGGTAAAGCTGGAAAGTTATATGACCTATACTGTTTCGGTGCGACATCTCGTGAAAAATAAAGAAGTAGAAGAAGAAGAAAAAAGATAAAAGTAATGAAAAACAAGAGCACCGCATAAGCGTGGCAATTTACACCCGATTGCAAATTAAAAGTAATAACCATTGTCCACAACATGTTTGTTTCAATTATCAATTATTAGGATCTATATTGATAAGATTATATATATGCCATAGCTTTCCCTGTGGAAAACAGACCCCAGTCAAGCACCAGCAATGGTCTGTTTTTTTCATAAATCTTAAAAGCTAATTTCTAAGTACAGAGTGGTGATTATTAACCTCCATTCAATTGTCACGGAATATATATACTAACTGAAAAAATACAATAATGTTTGTTTTTGTTGGTTTTTAAATGAAGAAGAAGAAAAAAACAGAACAAAAAACTCACATAAATAATATTAAACCAGAAATTCAAAAGCACAACAAACATAAGCCTAGAAAATAACCAAAACCAGGGACATATCTATGTCTCTGTAAAAAAAGCTATGCTTACAGACAAACTTCTTCTTTTTTTACCTCCCTTTACATTTATAACATCAATACTCACCCTAACAATTTTATCTTATACAAAACTGATAATACTACTTATATAGAGCTAGTTGTACAAATAGTTCTCGGATATCTTGTTCTAAGGATGCTATATTTAAAAGACAAATAATTGATGTGTTACTTCTTTATGAATGATTTTATTCGGAAAGGAAATGTAGGATAAGAGATTGTTGAAATGTAAAAGTAGGGAATAAAGGATAGGTTAGGCTATAAATTGATAATTACTTGAGAATATATTTTGAGAAAATAAATTGTTTCTTGAAATATATATTCCGGATGATTTAAGAAGTAGCTTGATATTGTTATTTTGTATTTTATTATTTCTGGAATTATTTTTATAAAATGATATCATATCATATCACACCAAGAAAAGTTATATGTTATATTTAGCATTTAAGAATATTTTGATTTTATTTTGTAGCACTTGAATATGATCATCCGTTCGGAACGCGCTATACATGTGCGTTGCTAATATTATACAGAACACAAAATGCCATTTTGAATTAGATTCTGTCTAAAATCAAATAGAAAAAAATGGTGGAATCTGGTATGCAGATCTTCTGTATGTCAAAGTTAGTGTTTGAAATGAGATGTCTTTGCATGGTTGTTTTACAGTGAGATGGATGTCATATCGTTATGTATACATAAACAAGCAAACAAACAAAATCCAATTAAACAAATAAAGATTAATCTGAAACATTATCTAAGTTTCTTATGCAAACAAACAAACAGAATCTTGATAAACAAACAAGCAGAATCTTCATAATCAAACAAACATAATCTAAATCAACAAATAAAAAAACATAATGTAAATAAATAAATGAACAAATAAATATAAACTAAATAAACAAACAAACAAGTACAATCTAAATGAACAAACAAATAAATAGAATCTAAATGAACAAACAAATAAATAGAATCAAATTGAATGAATGAATAATTGAATGAATGAATGAATGAATGCATAAATAAATGAATGAATGAATGAATAAATGAATGAATGAATGAATGAACGAACGAACGAACGAACGAATGAATGAATGCGACAGAAGAGAAATTCCTAAAATGTCTCTGCATAGATATGTCTTGTTTGTTAGTAATTTATTGATTCAATTAGTGTGAACATTGACCCGCACTACTAATATACATTTAATTATAGAGAAAATGAAAACAATAGTGGCAATGCTTCCGTAGAAATCTACTTATTTATCTTAAACCATCTATATAATTCAATGTACATATTAAACATATTGAAATATATTAAACCGTGTACTGCATTCACAACCTTTTTCACACCCATTTAACCTATAACCCTTATGTATTTTGTGAAAAATGGCTGTTTTCATTGAACAGCAGCGTCTTACAAGTTCAAATTGCCATGAAATTACATAAAAAGGCTTAAATACTGATCAATCTGCACAAATGTTGACTGGACTTTAGCTTCTGTAACAGCGTGTCCATTCTTATGTTTCCTGTTACCAGGGCAACGAGGGTACGTCTCAAAATTGGCAAAAAATCACTATTGTTCGTTGTATTTTTCCATCAAAACTGATTTCAACGTGCTGCAACTTCTCAATTAAATGAGATAAAGTAAAAGGCTTTTCAGTCGCTCACAAGTCAAAAATTGTACTGTCATCTCCCGCCTGGCACCCCCTTGATGTGCCTTTTTGATAAGGGTGGCGCCGAAATAGTGGTCATTTTTAACAACATTTCTCAAACAAAAATAAGTGTTTGTGGCCTGAATTGGACATTTTTCACTATTTGAGGCCTCAAAGGAGTGGGGGGGGGGGTCTTAGGGGAGCGAAAATGTGTTGTTCTCTCTAAAGTCAAATGACGCATTGATGGATATCTGTAAGACAAAAAAAACCCGGACAAAAGATCCCAATCTAAAAATGACATGTTAGACAAAAGCCCTCCCCCCTGAAATATACGGGTAGGACAAAAGCCCCCAATCAAAAAATAAAGGTAGGACATAAGCCTACCTCCCTCCTATCAAACAAATTGGTAGAGCCCCCCCCCCCCGCAAACCTATGTTTTATAGACCAGATTGACTTCTATCTTTTTTCACACGCCAATGTGCTCAAATTCATCAAGGTTCACTCTTACAAAGTATATGATAACAGATAAAATAACGCATGCATGCGATACTAACTTCTTAGCTTCTTAGTGCTATACCGTGTCTGGCATGTATGAATCGTACTTGAACCGTATTGGTCGTATGGCAATCGTATGAAACCGTGTGTGCATTAGTCTTAATCGTAGAGTGATCGTGTGACATTACAGTGTAAATCGGGTGATGGTTGTAGGACTTGGGACGGTTTCGAACGTTTCCGTACGATTTATATACGATCTTGACACGGTTGAGCTCACTTCAAATACGGTTGTATAAACGGTCTCATACGGTATTGTACGGTCATTTATACGATCATGCACATACACGACATCCGTGCCAGTTTTTTTAAAAGTTTAAAAAATGATACACGGTTTACACGGATACACTCGAATGGCCCTAGTGTAACTCGGATAACGCCAAGGTTGGTTCAGTTGTATACCGTATAAGCCGTGTGTTCTGTGTGAGACTTGCTTAAAGGCGGTAGATGTGTAGGGCCAAAAATGTAGAAAATGATAAATCAGTTCTAACGAAAGAATCTCTTTTTGCCAATCGCTATAAATGGTCATGTTTTTATTGATGGAAAGAAGTTTTCAATGTAACCAAAATGATGCAAAAAATGTGTTCTCTGCCTTTTGATATTAAGTCTAAAATACTCCTAAAATTCAGCTATGGCAATGTAGTCCCCGGACCACGCCTACAAATTGGTTTCTTTCAAGGTTCTTCCATAATCTTGATGTATAATGAAATCAAACATGAACGGAAATGCTCTCTAAACTTACTTCATGTGTACCTGCGTCGTCAACTTGTAGAAATAGTGAAATACTATACATGTATATACTTACAGATGTATTTATCAATACGATAAGCAAATATATATACATTTTCTAAACACAGTTTCTAAGAACATTCGAATAACGT